CCCACAAGTCTGACGGTGAAACAGCCATCAATGATGTACCAAGGGTGAGACAAACAGAAACCATGTTAAGTCCACGATTTAGTTTGGAGCTTGTAAAAGGAATACCAGGTGAAGGGGCTCCCGTGAGCAAACAAGTTACTCCAGCATGGGTGTTGTCCCTTTGGTGTAAGCCACCTCTGATTGGACTGTCAAGAGAGTAGGCAATTTTGAAAGACATGCTAGGATGACGAAAGAGGATACTGGGTTCACCATGATCCACCAAGGCTTGTGTAGTGTGCAAATGGTTTTCTCCAAATATAATAGGCCAGGACAAACGTGGAACTACAAACATCTGAAAGGTTGTTTCTCTACCATTACTCCACTGTAAGGGAATTTCCATAGTGCAACAGCATTTAGCTGAGAATTTGCATCAGCAACAGAAACTGTAACAGGTGTTTCAAGTGACTGACAAGCGACTGACAAGAGAAACTGAGCAACAACTGTCAAGAGGTAGTGGAAGTTTCTCCCCAGCAGAGACAGCAGGTGTCCAAAGGATGTGACGTTCTTTGAGTTTTCCAGCAGGAACTTATTAAAATTTCTGCAGACCTCAGGCGATTTCTTTTTTGGTGCTGCTGACCGTTGTGGGCATTCATGAGCTTTGTGTTGATTACTTCCGCAAATCCAACACGAACTTTGCTTATTTTTGCTACCAAATCGACGTGAAGATGAAAACAAGGCGTTTCGCTGAGAAACTCCATTAAAAACTGTAGATGACGACGAGGAATCACTTCTCAAGGGCGAAGAAGACCCATTACTTGCAGTAGCGATGAATGAATGTTCGATGCGACGAGCGGCTTCGATAGCTTTATCAAATTGTGTTACCTGATGAGCTTGCAAAACGAGGTGTTGGGTAAGATGCGGTTGTAACTTGGAACCAAACTGAGAAGTAACATGCGTGGGACAAGATTTCGTCAGTCTTTCGCCCAGTTTATCAAATTGATGAAGAGTGTTCTTGTATTTTTAAGACAAATTCATCCACGCTCTCAGAGGGATCTTGTTTCATAGCACTTAATTCAGCTGCAAATCGGCGACAGTTTGCGTCCGGAGGTTCCTGGAATTCATCCCGTAAACTTGAGATAAAAGAGTTCAACTGTTCCTCGGCGGTTTTATCAGAAAACCCTTCCGAGCCACGGCGGAAAGATAACACTGAACGCGGCCACTTACCGACGACCTGTTGTTCCAGGAGCGACAAGCGAATTTTGGCGGGAAGGTGAGATGTTTGCTCTTGGAAACGCTCCAAAAATTCGGCAATATCATCTTGTGCGGTTTTATCTTGGCGAAAGGTTGGTAGCTGTAAGGTCGGCAATCGTAAGGTCGACAGGTGTTGATTGTTAGAACCAGAAGTAGTATCGGCTGAGTTCGCTTGGGATGTTGAAGCTGTAGTGTGAGCTTGCAGCAGGGCAGATTGTTGTTGGACGGTGTTAACTAAACCTTTGACAACTTCGCTGAGACCGGCCACGACGCCTTGAAGTTCTTCGATAGTAGCAGGCATTTGTACTTGAAATGGATTGTCCACCACTTTTGTAGAAGGAGTTGATACCAGTAGAACTGAGAACACAACACTTTAATCACTACGAGCAGACTAATCTGTTCTGGTACAGAAGCTACACATATGTTATTCCTCGGAGCGGTTCAGACCGGTTTCTAGTATTATCTACTTCATATATGACAGCATAAACTGTCCCACTACAAGCTGACCCCGGGCATTGGCTTTTTTTGGCCTTGGATGGCCAATTCGCGGGGGTGGGGACTTTTTAGCTGTCAAATCTCCCGGGAAGGGGAAGAAAAAAGAGGGCAAATTCCCCGTCCTCCGTCAACACTGCAACATTTTTCATTGATCGCACGGTCGAATAGTGCCATTTTAAGTATTTTAATGTGCGATTTTTTGTTTCCGTTAACGTCTTCCTTTGTAATAGCGCTAGGATTCTAACGACGACATGCACTAGTTTACGGTTTTAGTATTGATATAAAGTTGTTGACATTTAATTACTAGAGCGCTGTAAAGTTATATGCTATGAATAGTTTTATAACTATGAAAGGATGTTCTTCAAATATATCAACAGAAATTTGATTCAATAACCAAAAAACGTGGAATCACATCGATAACTCCAATTGCGCTATATAATTTTGGCTTGATAAGCAATAAAGAAATGCATGCACATAACCGAGAACATACCTTTACAACCCTCTTAAATTTATTCCTGTCCTTGACAGATGAGCCAATCTGCTTTTTATCCAGTAAAACCCTCTGTGTAGTTATATTCTGATAGAAAACCGCGTGCGTGTCAAAAGCTCGGGAATGGCCCAGGGGTTGGCAAATGCCCGGCCCCCGGGCAGTGCAAAATTTGTCAATGCCTCACCCCCGGGACTGACAAGGCGGGCAAATGCCCCGCAGAAGCCCGGGGGGGAGGGGGGGTTGTGCGCAGGTGGAATTGACTGATGCGTAATCTCCTCACGTTTAACACAAGCGAAATATCATCGATAACCCGGAAAACTCCGCCTTTTGGCAGATAAACACCTCTGGGCTCTTCTCTTGCAACATGAAATGCTGCAAAACGTGAACTCTTGTGGGGAAGTTTTTTAACACCCAGTCTCAAAGTGACAAGGTTGAGTGACCTTGTTACGTTGAAACAGTGATGCCTGACATCAAAGCAGGAGGTCATTTGCTTGTTTTATAAATCCTAATAATTCTAAGTAACCAATCAGTCGTTCTCTTTGAGTTTGTTACGTTAATGGTCGCAATGTTATTACATTAGTGGTTAAGCTTTTTATTACATTAAAGATTGAAAAATTATTACATTGGTGGTCAACTTTTTGTTACTTTAGTGGTTCATATTTTTTACATTAATGGTTAGTATTACATTAGTGGTTGATGTTTATTAGTATAGGTAATCACATGATTTCGAGTACAATTTGGAACAAATAAGCACGACTAAATTTTTCAAAGACCAACAAAAGTGCACGAGCCCGTAGGGCGAGTGCACTTTGTTGTCTTTGAAAAATTTATAAGTGCTTATTTATTCCAAATTGCACGAGAAAAATCATTTGATAATGTACACGAAAAACAGCTGTACATAGTTCATTCAACTGATTGGCTGAAACAGACTACCACCTTTGTCAAATTCAAACTTTTTCAAGACCAACGCTTTCAAAATCATTCAGCTGAGAACTTGGAAATGTGCAAGGATTTTTTAATATGGTCACCAGCCCGTTAAAGATAACTTGGTTTACAATAATCAGCAAAAGTAAGTGTTTTTATTCATCCTCGATTATGAGAGCTCGGCGTTCACAAGAAGCGTTAACAAAAAGTATACTACCGCTTTGAAATCAAGAGAACGCTTCGAGCAGACAAAGATGAAAGTTACTTGCTAAGGTTTTTTAACGACTGTTCATCATTGTCTGATCCTGAGACCCCATCATAGCTGGATTCATGGAGAAATCTTTGACATTTAAAACCCAAAAAAGGAGGGAGGCAATTTGTTTTCTTTCGACGCTGCCATCAATGGGTGAGTGGAGCCACAGTTGTTGTGATGCCGGAAACTGCCAGTATTAATATACAGTATTTGCTTTTTCTCAGCGCTGGAGTCTCCGTTATTTAATTTGACCTACTGCAAGAGTCATCGTAGCTCTTCTTCGTCGGCTTGATCGTAGTCGTTAAGGAAATTTATACCTCTGTGGCCTGTGACATTGGCGATATGCTCTGAACTTACAATCTTTGCTTTCTTCGGCTTCCTTACTGCTGTTTTTCTTGCACAAGGCTACTACCAGGCTAGTACCAGCTACGGATACTTTCATTGTGCACCACTGTGTACCAGCTACCAATACTTTTATTATGTGAGTTATGGTATTTTCGCCCATTAGTTTAGTTTGGACCAGATGTTTAAATTTTCGGTTTTGTTTGCTACTGAGGTAGAAAAAAACAGACAATGACATGGATGTTTTCATAGAGGTCTTCGCTCCACAAAAGACTCAAAGAGAGCACCCGAACACCTGTTGTTGTTGTTGTTGTTGAAACAGCTCTAGTCTGATTGGTTCTTGTTGGTTTCTTTTGTGTTTTCAGCCAGTCAGAAAGCTTTTGTAATTTGCACTCATGTTACAAGTTTGCACTCCTGTTACACATTTTGCACCCGTAGTAATGGTCGTCTATTCGGCCATCATTCTTATGCAAATGAGTTGTACTGTATTTTCTGGTTGCTGATTGGCTGGACATTTCCTGACTTAGTACTATCATGTCTCGGTAAACTAACGAATCGGAAATATCCCAAAGCGAAGCTCGGGTGTTCGGAAATATGTTAATGAGGGATGATACCATGAAGTAAGAGAAGAGAGATATTTGGCGAGTATATATGTGTCAAAGAGAGACAAGAAAAACATGTGGGAGAGAATTACTGTCCCCTCATTACGCATGCAGAGTGCGCAGGACGCATGCGAGTAGAGAAATTGTGTTAAACCGTTCTTAATTGTAGTGAAATAAACTGTAGAGTGAAAATAACGTTTGTTTTTAGGTTTTATAGTAAACAGAGACTTTGATAAAGATGAAACAAATGTTTTATTAAGTTTTTACAGTAAGAACTCAAGAAAGAACCCAGCTATGAACTAACATCGTATCATTGTGTACAAAAATTTACTACCTCAGGAATACTTCGTTTAAAAGTATCATTGAGTTCAAGTAAAGCATCTGGAAAGTCGTAAATGTTCTTGATCCCGAAAATGGCAGTTTTTGGTTGAAAGGTCGGCAAAGCAAATTGTTTGTCGGGCATTTGATCACAGGCGTAGAATAAATCTTCATCTTGTCTGTACCAGGGCCAAATCTGTTTTTCCACATCATAGACATACAGGATCTTGTTTAGCAGTTTCGCCATTTCTACGGCCCAGCCAGTTGCTCCAAAGCACATGTTACTTTCGGGCCGAAAGTTTGTAAACGCTAACACCATGTCTGCTTGTTCCACCACATGATAGTTTCAGTGAATATACTGTAAACTGACAGGATTTTGTGTTTGTTGTTTGTTGAGGCGAGCAGCGACTTGCAATCTGATGGGAATTGCTTCGGCTAGTTGAGTGATTGTTAATGGAGGGACTGTTTTACTTCGTGGATGACAAGGTGGAATTATGACTTGTACAGTTAAACCATGGTCTCTTGCTAACTTTTCAGCTTCCAATTCCACACCAAGTGCGCCACCAGTGATAATCGTAAACGGTTGCACACCCAACATGATGCTACGTCTGACTTTATCAAGCGTCGTTCTATTTTATAGAGTGTTCCTTGCCTAAACAGTGACGTCATTGCCTGAACATGTTCATGTCCCTTGAGAAAATTTTTGGAGCAAAGATTTTGTTATAAGTAATGGAGCGTGTTGACAATTCGTCAAAAATAGTTCCGTTCAGTGCATAGAGTTTATAATTCAGTTGATCAAAGGTCATATCATAATTAGAAAGGCCTTCTATTAAAAGAGCTTGAATAAATTCTTCGTACGACGAAAACTCAGAGGGTTTGATGCGTTTCAGAAGTTGATCCATGTTAATACACTGCATCGTAGCCTTCTCTTTCTTGTTTATCTTTTAAGAGGTCTTTGATACTTTTCAAGTCCTCCTGTAGACGTGGCAGTTGTTCTTTTACACTGTCAATCTTCTGCAGCTGTTCAGCACAAAAGAGAAGTGATCGATCAGCAATATTGATCCACTCGGCCTCACTCATTGTGACATGAAATAAACGGATGCTCTCTCTTATATCGGTACGTCATGCTCCATTGAATCATCCATTTTAATATATTTTCGTGCTGGAACATCCTGTTTCTTTTTAAAAAAACAAGGTGATTACCACAGGACTGTTGTCATTCAATTGAACCTTCGACCTATTCCATTCTGTTATTGTGACTTCCACAATATCAAGCAGTTGACCACGCAATAAATAAAATTGCAACAGTTTACACTCGATTAACGTTTTCTCATTATTATAGTTTCTCATACATTATAGTTTTTTGTTCAGATCTTGATTCGTCCAACGAACCACCTTCTCAAAAAATTCAAATCCTGTGTTGGCGTCAGCTGAGACTTGTTTCACGTACAAAAAACGTCTTGCGATTGACATGACTTGAACGCCTTGTCATATTGTTGAAACATAATGTCTGTGCTCGTTCGTTTGTATAATTGGATAATTTTCTGTAGGAGAACCGTTTTGGAGGTGTTGGGGTAGCTAAATGAGTTGGAGCAGATGAGTGAGAGGTAACCACAAGTGGAATACGGTTTGGGGCTCCAGGTAAATATAGACTGGCTAACCCAACTTTCCACTTTCCAGTCAACCATAACGCTTGAGGAAGTCGATGTTGAAATTGATTAGAGAATTGTTTGGGAATTCACTGGTTTTGCTACTGGTGAGGTCACATAAAAAGAAGACTCAGTGGGTTGAGACATGATGACAAAATGAATAAAAAGTTATTAATATATTCACTCTTTTATAGAATTTTTCAAAGCAGTCTTTACTTGCTCCTTGCCTCAACAAGTCCAAATCCCTAAGGACTGACGTCAATGTAAATGAGGTAAACCCCTATAAACTTTTTATGGAAACGTAGAAGATAAAAAGAAAGTGTACCATGCTTTGAAAGACGAAATTCATCCTGAAGTCCACGCCAAATGGGGTCACTTGGAACGTCATTGTCACTCTATTCCAAAGATGTGACTCAGTAAAACAGCAAAAAACTCGAACAATGTGTTTCTGACCTGTGGTGGGCCATACAATCGTGGAGAGCAAAGACCAAAAGCGCCCCCTTGTGAATATTTACAATGGATTCATACAGGTCTCTATCCCCTACCATCGGAACCTATTCCGGAATGGCTCATGAAATTTACTGCCTCCCGTCAGCCACAGGGTTACAAACCAAGACCTCTCAAGTCTGTCAATAAATCCAATCCAGACCAACAAAAAAGTCCGACTAGTTTCAACAAGCAGTGTAGAATGTAAACCAGTGGAACCGCAAGCAAGCCAACAAAACCTGGATGAAGAACAAGAGCGGCAAGCCAAACCCAAGGTACATTAGCTTAGGGTCCTGAAGTGGTGGAACAATTAAAGGAGCAAGAAGAAGCCAAACATGACGCCTGGAATCCTCCGCTGGTGTCAGAACAGAAAAACGAAGTGGAAAAGAAGCAATCCTTTGGATGGCTGCCTCTAAACGATGCTAGTTTAGCCTCGTATTTACAAAAGCAGAAAGAAAAGGGCAAAACATTGTCCCCTGCTGATGAAAAGCTTTTAGAAGGATGCAAACATGTACGAAAACAAGAGCGGCAAGCGAGTTTATTTGCTTCATCAGGGGAGTTTTATAGAATGTGTAAAAAAGGCTTTCTCGCTCATGACGAGAAGAACGAAGTGGAAAAGAAGCAGTCTTTTGGATGGTTGCCTGAGAAAAAGGCTAGTTTGGCCTCTTATTTACAAAAGCAGAAAGAACAGAGCCAATTATTGTCCCAGGCTCATGAACTGTTTTTGAAAGGACTCAAACATTATAATGTAGGCTGTGTTAATTTCTTAAAATGAAAGCCTTTTGAAAAATGTGTTGTTGCTAAGATAATGAGGGTTTGGGTTAGGGTTACGGTTAAAATGTTAATTAGGGTGGGGGTTTGGATTAAAATGTAAATTAGACCTAGTCCCAAAGGGTTAGGGTTGGGGGTTATAAATTGGAGTTGTAGGGTTCAAGTTTTATCTTGTATCAACATGTCAGCTAATAGGTTGATGATGACTCAATTATGGTACCAATGTAATCAGGAATTAGAAAGAAATCAAGCCATCTTACAGAAAAAAGAACAACTCATTGATATCATGAAAGGGGAATCGGAAGCTTTACGTGTGGATAATGATCAACTACGTTATGAGTTATTATGTTCATCGTGACGAGTGTATCTTGATCGAAAACAACCAGGTGACACCATTGAAGGTATGGCTTGCCCTCATTCTATCAGGAATTCCGGATATGTTAAAAACTGGAACCTTGGGCAAGTCCCGGCAAGTCTTTTGTAGTCGTCACTGCTATAAATTCGTAGCGGACTGAACTGTCTTTTATAAAGATCAAGGAAGCGTTATAGTATAGGAGTACTGTTTGGATATGTGGAAAACTTAATAAGGACACCGTTATTCCTAACAAAGCCTGTCACCCTGTTCCTTTATTTGTCTACATTATGAAGAGAAATCCAACGTGGGGTCGCTATGCTGTCTACATCACTTGGCTTCATACGCATTTTCCTTCACAAGGACATGTTGTGTTCAGCTATTTAAAGAAACAGTATCCATAATGGATTTATTCATTCCCGTATTTGGCTGGTCAATACATCTTGCATCATGTCGTACGAAGATCCTTCACAACCTGGTTCCTTGGGTAAAGTCAGTGCATTTGCTAAAGCTCGAAGTATTTCACGAGAAAAAGCACAGAGACAACTTCGACAAAAATTGATTTATACGTTGCACAAACTTCGTCGTCGTCGTTTTCCTACATTACCTCCTTGGTGTTTGGTATAAATGAACAGTTTGTAATGGACCTCGTCGACCTCCAGAAATTAGCTAAATGGAACAAGGGTTATAAATATTTACTCACTGTGATTGATGTTTCATCGAAATATGCCTGGGTAAAAAAGTAAAAGTGCCGCACAACTGGTCGCTGCTTTAGAAAGGTTACGGAAACGAACATCGCCTCTACATCCTGAGAAAGTGCAGACGGACGCTGGAAGTGAGTTCTATAATTCCAAGGTGCAAGCTTTTTTAAGAAACATAATGTGACTCATTTTTCCACGGATGGAGATCCTCATGGCTCCGAGTTTGAACGTTGGAATCGAACGTTGAAAACGAAAATGTTTCGTTATTTTACCGCTAAAAACACTCTAAAGTATATTGATGTATTACCAGCTTTAGTAAAAGCCTATAATCATTCATTTCATTCCAGTATTAAAGAAAAACCTGTGAATGTGACCCCCAAAAACCAGCTGGACATTTGGTACAGATTGAATAGGAAACGAATAAGAACGGAGAAAAACCCAAATGTTAAGTAGGAGATAAAGTGAGGTTGAATAATGTATAGATTTAGCCAGGGCTAAAAGCGAGGCTCCCATTAATAAATTTATAATGTAAATCAAACAATAAGCTTGTATTCCACAATTCAGTTAGCTTTAAAGCACATTCATGTGACTTTTAAGGGAAAGGCTAAGTGATTTTTGTGAAAAATTTTTTCAAACAGCCCAAGATAGCCTCACACGTACACCCCCAAAATAGCAATCATTTTGGATCACATTTAACAGCCATAATGGCTCTTGATCACCGTAGACTAATTAGGCCTGGAAAAAAAATCAGGCCAAATTTTTTTGCGTTCAACAAGTTTACTTTACAGAATATTGCTAACAAATCTGGGTGCGTGTAAAACATAAACATCACATCTGAGGTGAAACAGTACTATGAGGGACTATTTTTATCACACAGACCTCGGACAGAATGCAGTATTTCACAATTTTGCAATACAAGGTGCACTAATTCAATATTCAGGACGATCGATCGAAGCACACATGGGCTTTTCGCTAAACAGTTAAAAAAATTTCCAAAATCACCTAGTATATATGGCCAGCCGGTTCTCACTTTTGTAGGGCGAGCTGTGGTCGTGTTTGAATGAACATTAATAGAGTTACGTTTCAACATGATGAAGAATTTATTATAGTTATTTTTTATTTAATGGTTTTATCGATCTGTAATCTTCAAAAGCGTTTGATACGCGCGGCATTTTGAGTACCTCCTGCAAGCGATGTTCACTGAACGACTGAAAACAAACGACACAGCGATTAAAATTACATGAGAGACTACTAACAATCAATAAAAGAAATATAATTCGGTAAAATATATACAGAGACAACCATTTTCATTCTCGAAGACAAGTATTAAAGTGTCTAAAAAAATCCTGAGTCTTCAAGCTTAAAGCTTAAGTTTATGTTTTAAACCGGCTTCCCTGTGTTTGCTTCTTTTCAAAGATGAACTCGAGGCAAGAAAATCGCTCAAAGCTTTCTTTTACAGCCAGATTTATAACTAAATATTCTTTGGAACGTTTTCTTTCTACTCTGCAGTGAGAAAATGTCCAAAGGTGTTTTAAAGTTCTGTAAGCTTATATCAAAACTGATACACGGTCATATCATTGTCTCAAATCTTACAAACGTGCATAAACAAAATAGCCGCATAAACTAGGCTCGACTTCATTAAATTAGATATAAAAAACAAACATCAAATACAATAATTACTCAGGCTTACCATTCGAGATACAGCCCTGAAAGGTATCAAGTAAGGCCAGTATCGCTTCAGACTTTGCAACCCTCTTACGCATCAACCAAGGTGAAAAACGAAAACGATACCATCCGAAATCGGATTTCCGACTTTGACAAGTGACGTATTTCTCAACCAAAAACCCAATAAACAAACTAGCCATGAATAACAGAAGACTCCTGATAGCAGCTGAATTTCATTTTGTACATCCAGTGGAAAAAGACAGTTAAAAACATCACAAGTTGACACAAAAGTCTGTCAGCTTCAGCTGTCAAAGTAAACAAGATTCAAGATGCTGCATAAATTTTCCGCATGAACTCACCTGTCAAATTTTGACCAATCACAGCATAAAAATTGGACGAAGAGCGTGACCAACGCGTGATCATGGTGAACAAAGTCAAAAGCAGCCGTCTTCCCTGCCTGTAATAGCTGGCTGAATTTTCGCGTACGAGGTCAGTTTGAAATCAAAATTCTAATTGTGCAGCAGAAATACACGACATATATTTCATATGAATCTAAAAAATAATAAACTTGAGTCTGCGATCATTTGAAAACTAGTTACTTGTCAGCGGATAACTTCAAAAAATACTTGACCTCAGTGGGTCGACACCTGAGCCCGCAATACGGTCAAGTGATACTGGTCAGCAGATTCCCTGTTTTGGCAGCTGTCAATTGATCGCAAGATTCATGTCCAATATGCGTGCATTATCAGTTTTCCTGTGCTCTCAAACTAGGTAGAGAGTATAAGATTGAACATTGATCGCTATCTAGTAAAACAACTGGTCAGCGGACAGCTTCCAAATAGACACGTCACTTCGATGAGTTGACACATGAGCCTGCGATATGGTCATGTGATACTGGTCAGTGGCTATCCTGTTTTGACAGCTGTCAATTGACCATTTTGTGAATGTCCAATGTACAAGATGTAGAATTGCCAAGACACGACTGAGACACCCCTTCCTCGCTTTTGATAGTCTCCCCTACCCCACCCTTACAATCTGTAGACGCGTACACTCGGTCAATCACGTGACAACCAAACGAAAAGAGGATGACCATATTCCATGAGTATGGGGCTCCGTCAGCGCGCATGGGAGCCCCGCTAAAGAATTTTGCCCTTTTAAAAAAAATATCAGCCTGGATGGACCGAAGAGGTCTTTTTAGCTCAGCGAATTGCCACCACCAAACCTGTGGTCACTTATGAGCTCACGGAATGGAACGACACGCCTATAAAAGGGTCGTTCTATGAACAAGATTTTCAAAAAGTGGTTGTGCCCGATGATGCTTTATTTCGTGTAGACAAAGTGTTGAAACGCCAAGGAAATCAAGTGTTTGTCGCTTGGAAGGGGTGGCCTAAAGAGTATAATAGTTGGATTTGGAAAAAAGATTTANCACGCCTATAAAAGGGTCGTTCTATGAACAAGATTTTCAAAAAGTGGTTGTGCCCGATGATGCTTTATTTCGTGTAGACAAAGTGTTGAAACGCCAAGGAAATCAAGTGTTTGTCGCTTGGAAGGGGTGGCCTAAAGAGTATAATAGTTGGATTTGGAAAAAAGATTTAGTATTATGAATGAATTTCCAACGGATGAATTTGCTAACAGTCAAAACAATAGTTTTAAAGTACGCTTACCCAGTTCATTGCAATTACCTGGAGAAAATTGGAAGGCTAGTTTGTGGGGATTATAAGTGTCTTATGAAGGACACAGCAGTCAAATAATTTCATCCAAGGCAGATACAGAGTTGGTGGGGTATAGATATACGTTTACACAACGTTATAAAGAGAGTAATGGAACATGGAACATTGAACGGAAAGGCAAAGATCCAGTAGTCAATTTAAAAAAAGAGATGGGAAATGACATGACTGTGAATTGGGTGTTCAGTTATGGAATAACACTGTGACCAAAATGGAACAAACTATGATGACAGATGTTACGACCACCTCTCATGCATGGAAATCAGCCAAAGATAATGATGCGACCATTTCGTTAAAAACGAATTGGAAACGTACCTTTCAATGGAAACAAGACAATCTTATTTTGAAAGCAGTGCCTGAAAAAGATGTGTATGAACGTGATGCATTTTATCGAGTTCAACCATTATCAACCTTTCCTATTCAACTGGAGTTTGCCCAACAGTTTGGTTTGATTCAAAAAGATAAAAACGACAAGTATCATTTAAGGCCAAATCTGGAATATGAGTTACCACAAGTGACTTATTCAAGCACCACTGTTCCAACCAAGACCAACGATAGGTATCACTGATTAGGTGATCATTATTTGGGGATCATACCTCATGATTTTAGAAAAGATTCATCCCGAGATAAAAAATTTGCCTACAGCGTCATTTAAGGTCATGAAGAATCGTGGAGGAAAAACGTTTGTTTATTTAACCCGATGTGTGCATCGGCGATTCATGAATTTGAATTCCACCTTTAATACTCATGTGGAACCGACTAAACAAACACTCATGATCTATTCAGATGTGGAGGAATCTACTGTGTTGGGGGCACAAAAACATCCCTTGTTGAGAAAAGTGCAACTTGAACGTTTGGGTCAAGGACGTGCCACTGTAGAACCTATACATCATGAATGGATTAAACTACAGAGTAATCGATTAGAAATCATTGAAGTGCAAATTGCTACCGCGGAAGGACCTCTTGTAGTGTTACCAACTGGGAAAACGCTCGTCACAATAGGGGGTTTTGACGAGAATGAAAGAACCATCCCATCACTGTTTCCCATTATTGATAACAACCATGTTAGGCGGATTTCCCACACGGTATCATACTCCCCCTTTGCAAGGAAAGGGTTTTTCGCAGGAATCAATCAAACTAGCAGGGCCTACTCTCATTCGATCCATTGGACATGGGCTTCAAGCCTGTGAAAAAGGGGCTTCTTTGGAAGATGCTTTAAGCTCCTCAGGACAAGTTTTGAAAAAAGGATTAAAACGAAAACTCTCTGCCGGTGCAGGCGTCCTGGCTAAACGGCTGTCAAACAAAGCTATGAAAAGAAAATCAGACGGGTCAAAGACATATTCGGTGTGTAATCAACATGAGACGTGGACTTAAATCCCAATCGCGAGTAAGACACCAGCGAGCAGTGGGACGTAATCAATCCTTCTGTCAGAGGGGAGGAAGTATTGCTTATGGGTTAGGATTACGTTTGCCTTATCAAGTTGAACCTTGGATGGCTTGTCGACGACAGAAAGGAGGTTCAATTCAAAAAGTGGTCTACCCATGGATGACAAAAGGCCGCAAGTATAAAAGGAGACGTAAACAGGCTTAAGTGTCATTTTATCAACATGTCGTTGAACCTCTTTGACGTGCCGGACATTGACTATCGCTATGAAGCGAAACGATGGGTTCCCTTTAAACCTGTCAACACAGGAAGACGACCCATTCTCTTTACAGTCACTTCCTCCGATAATTATTATGATTTAAGTAAAACCAAGTTGGAAATCAAAACCCGTCTCGAAACCACAGGCACAAGTCATATCTCTGCTACGGAAGGATCTGTGTCTGATGCCAATAAAAGTAAATATATCTATTGCGCAAAAATTTTGGACATACATTGTTTAATCAAATGAATGTCAATTTCAATGGTGTCTTGATGACGGAACAGAGCAATGCTTATCACCTACATAGAAACTCTGGTGAATTACAATCGAGAAGAAGGGAAAACCACACTCGCTGCGCAAGGTTGGGTGAATGAACTGAATGTGGCTGAAGAATCAACGCCTACCAATGCTACTAATAATGAAGAACCAGATGTGGCTAATTGGGCAGGCGAAACAGGCCTCAAAGCCTTAACTAGTCGTTTGCTGGGGAAAGTCTATCATACCTTTATGATCAAACCCCATGTGGCCGTGTTCAAAACAGGCAAATGTCTGGTCCCAGGCGTTCAAATTGATTTAGAATTACTCCTGAACGATAGTAACATGTTTCTCCTTGGAACACCTGACACTACTACCAGTGTAGACAAAAAGATTCCAACACTGGGAGACGATGGCCTCTATGTCACCTTGTGGATGAAAAAAGTCACGCAGAATGCATCTGTGTATGCCAGACTGCAGAAAGAANGATAGTAACATGTTTCTCTTTGGAACACCTGACACTACTACCAGTGTAGACAAAAAGATTCCAACACTGGGAGACGATGGCCTCTATGTCACCTTGTGGATGAAAAAAGTCACGCAGAATGCATCTGTGTATGCCAGACTGCAGAAAGAAAGATCCCTGAGGAAAACCAAAAAAGTGAAATATCCAGTGGTTAGAAGTGAAATCCGAACCTACTCCTTTGATGGAAACAGTACCAGATGGAAACAGGACAATCTCTTTGTACGACGAGTGCCTGGAAAAGTGATGATAGGGTTGTTAAATTCTAATAACTACAATGGAACTCTCAACTGCTACTCGTATGCATATGAAAAGTTTGGAGTGACCTGTGTCCGACAGACGATTGATGGCGAAGAATATCTGTACAGAGCGTCGGAACTGACAGGTAACAGCGGTGCAGAAGATTTGGTAGGGTATGACCGATTTCTAACAGCTTCAGGGGCTTACAAACATCACAAACCTCCTATGCTTCTACCAAGTGATTAGGGGGGGGGCAAGGAAAGAATTGTACCTTCTTCATGTTCAACAATGTTCCAGGTGATGCTGACAATCCTGAATTCAGAAACCCAAGACAAACAGGCAATGTACGGTATGAGATTGACTTCCCGGTAGCGGTTGATCACAATATTACCGTGGTGATCTTGAGCGAGTATGAAAATGTGTATGAAATAGATCAGTTTGGAGGAATCCTGTATTCCGTCAATTGCTGAGATGGAGTTCGTTGCTCTGAGTGACACTGTACTTAATGCGTTAGCCAGAGAAGATTCTGAATTCAAAAGAGCCTTTCGAGGTGTGTTTCCAGCAGACAAGTTACCAAACGTTCCCAATTGGAGAGTGTTCAGTGATGCCTACATTGTCAACACAGACCCAGCAGGAAAACCGGGCGAACATTGGTTAGCTATTTGGACACGTAACAGAGTGTGTGAAGTCTTTGACAGTTATGGAATGCCGTTAACCATGTACAAGAATCCACAGTTAGCGCGTAGTTGAAGCAGTGGAAAGAAATAATCTCCAGTGATATGACGATTCAAGCCATGGACAGTCAAACCTGCGGACATTATGCCCTTATGTTTTTAAAAGCCAAAGTTCGCGGCAGTAAGTTTCAAGAATTTTTAGCGCAATGGAGCTCACAAAATTTAGTTTTAAATGATCAATGAGTCGCTCAATCTTTAGAACGTTTAATTAAAGAAGAATTGTATCAGACAGAATTAAGTTGTAAGCAATCCAATGTAAGCCGTGGAACCTTTTGTTATTTTTATTTTCAATAAAAGTGTGGTGACAACCTTTGTGTCTTTCATTTTCTATCATGGTTACTCGGGGTGAAGAGCAAAAAGCTGTAGAGGCCTTGTCCTTTACTCAAGCTCATACCTATTTTTGGTATCAACGGTGTTCTATATCAATACAATCTACTTTGGGAGATGAAAAAGAATATGTTCAGGTCTTGACCTTAGCCAAATCACATCAATGGACCGCTTTAAAAGAATTTGTGTCGGACAAACCCATCTTAAAAAAGGTGGTTTTTAGAACCCTTAAAGTAGTATGTCCACGACTCTACCAAATGTACTTTCAAGATGATCACTAGACAGGATGGTCGTCAAGTCTATGACGTGTTAGCGATGGCGGAGGTATTGTATTTTTGTCCACATCCCCTGGAAATATTTTGTCCCATGGGATGGGGTTCATTGAAAAGAGGTGGTAGAGTTGGCTAAACAAAAACATTGGTTTGACATGAAAGAGTACATGGATTGGATGGGGGAGGGAGACAATGGAACAGTTGATTCAGTTCGCATCACTGTGTTTGTATCAAGAGCTATGATGACGTGTGGCCAGGCGAAAACGTTGACCGCAAAAAAGGGGAGCGAGATTTCGGCGAAAACCACGACTAAACGATAAAATTGCTGAAGGAGTAGCGATGCGGCTATCAGGGCCTGCCCCTAGTTTTGCCAAAGCGGGTGCTTTTTTAACCAGACAAGCGTTCAAGGGTACAAAAGACAACGCGCAACATTATAGGAGAAGAAGAAAATGATTTGTCAACCAGCCAGTGTGATTATCGCGGGTCCCTCGGGGAGTGGGAAAAGTGAACTGGTAGAACAACTTTTGAAAGAGAAAAAAATATTTCACCCCCTCTCCTAAAAAGATGCTGTATTGTTATGATCAATGGCAACCAAGATTTGATTGCATGAAAAAACAATCCAAGGAGCAATTGTACAAGGGATTACCTCCAGAAGGAGTGTTAGCGAAATAGTTTAAACCTCAAGATCATGGGTTTTTAATTCTGGATGATCTCATGGAAGAATCTGGCAATGATAAACGCGTCTTGGATTTATTTACCAAAGATTGTCATCTCGGAGGCATTACCACACTGTACTTAACCCAAGATTTATTTCCTCCAGGTAAATTTGCCAAAACTATTAATCGTAATGCCCATTATGCCATTTGATTTAAAAGTCCGCAGGATAAAACAGGCATCAGAAATTAACTCCTACAAGTGTACCCTGAAAAATGACGCAACGTTCTTACATTATTTTTAAGACTTAGGGCACGTCCCTTTGGGCATTTCATGTTGGATTTATATGCCGCGTCAGATGATCGATTTAGAATCTGGAGTCATTTAACCAAACGATAAGGCACACCTCAACGGCATACGTTTGATGAAGATATAAATAGACGGTCCATTAAAATGTAATTCAATCATGGGTAAGAGACGATACGGTACCGCTGGAAAGCGTAAACCTAGGTTGGAAGACAACACGGTGGGATTGGCCCTCTGTTAGCCATGGCTGTGCCAGCGTTACTCGCAGGAGGAAAAACCACTGCCTTAGGAGGTATAGGAGCTGTGGCGAATTATGGAACCAAAAAAGCCTTTCATTCCTTATCCAAACGTAAGCGGAAGTATAAAAAGAGACGCACATGAACAGTTTGTTAATAATAAAAGCAGAACGATGACAGGGCGTATGTCTCGGTAAGCTATGTTTTTAAAAGGCGTGTTGAATGAAGCGAATAAGCATAAACGTCAACAAAAAATTCGCTATGCCAATGCACATCAAATTAATGCCGTGAGTGAATTAGTCATGAATATTCTCAGGGGGGCTATCCGTCAAGGTAGAACCACTCTATCAAGACTCAAACCTCAAGCAACCAACTTCGTGTTAAGTACTTCGGAAAGTATAAAAAGACGACGACAGCTTATGATGCATCAGTTAGGAAAGGCCGTTATCATTGCGCTCAAAATCAGTATCGTTATTAAGATGAAACGAGTCCTGTTAGAACGGTTTCTTTGCGTCGTGGAAGGTATTTTATCTTTCGCTCAGATGATAAAAGAACTTCAACAAAAATTGAAACAAAAGTTTTCCGACTTGTTTTAACCAAAAAAGTATACGTAGGCACTCTAACAAGACTCACCTCAGTTTTTAGTATGGACGGCAACAGCAGTACACCCACAAAAATTCCATTCAATTTTTACAATTATGGGATCAATACAAATCTAAACTCTTGGATGATAGTCGACTCACCAAAGCCGCTGATTTAGGCGTTCAACATCATTTACTGTTGGAAAGTAATGCACCCGATGGTTGGAAAGAACCGTGCTTGAAATAAGTAGGAAGACAGTTACGGCAATGGACTAAAAAAGTTCGCCAACCAGGTGGGACACGGACTATAGGAAGTGAAGACTTGGAAGAGGATGATGAGAATAATTTAGCCATAGCGCCTATGCAGCAATTTATTTCCAACATAGCCAGTATTCAAAAAGGTATAAAAAGACCAGCGACTCCAAAGACCCCTGAAATAAAACAGTCACCTATTACACCTGATATAACAGTCACCTGTTACACCAGCCAAATTCTTTAACTCTTCGGTACACCATGTCCCGTGTAACATTCTTTCTGCATCCGTATGGTTGCAGAGGTTAGTGCGTTCCTGCCAATGTTTCTTCTACTCTTCTTCAACACAAGCACCGCACAAGGGAAAGGTGAGCTTGTTACCAGCACGGACGGGGAGTACGGGGTGATAAAGCTGCTCCACAGCAAGGATGTTCACCAAAGCCACACCAAAGTAATGATGGATATTCTGATCACTTGGGTTAGTGCAAATGAGCAGAAACCTTACCCCGTATTCTTTGTACTTGTTGAACCATGGGTAAAGACTCATGACATCGGCATACTTTATCTCTTCACCCTCCTCTGCTTTGGCATACAACGTGGTTGCACCCGTTCGGCCACCAAAGAATGCATCTCGGGGGTTCAGCACCTCCACCATGTCCAAAATTCTTGTAACGGGTGGTTGGTTTTCTTATCTTCAGCAAACTCACTCTCCCATTTTTCAATGACGGTGCAACCAGCCTGTCGAAGCATCTCCAATTTTCTTTGTCTGGCTTCATACACTTCTTGTACTGTTCTGTCCAGATGGCAATTTCTTCGGAGATCTCGTTTCTTATAACAGGTAGGGCACCCGTGATAATAACAGCCCTGAAATTCAAACACCGTTGTGGTTTCTGAATCATACCCGTCCACAAAATACACTGCTGCTGGCGTCAACACCTTTTGCTCCCCACCATTTCTGCCATGTCTCACACAACCAACACCCCTTAATTTCCAATCTTCAAAATAGAGCCACTCTAAAGCCACCTTACATTGATTTACCTGATTTCCTCTCCAACCATTTTGCGGTTTCAACACAATCAACTCTTCTTCTAGGTTTTCACGTCTCCAGAACAAATTGCAGGCGATGGCAATGGTCACTGACTCTTCCGGGGGGTTAAACTCGGTAATCTCTTCAAATTCTTCAATAAATTTCAGGCAGCCTTCTTTCAGGAACTGGACATCGCTCTTGCAGTAGTTAAGAAGTTCCTCTTGGAAAACGAAGATTGCGTTTTCTCTGACCTTCTCCGCATGCCAAGCGAGGAATTTTTCTCTTTTCTTCTTTGGCATGTCATCTGGGCAGTACATGTCCACAGGCAGATAGGCTCCCTGGCACTGAAAATTCTCAGGTGTGTTGAACTTGTGTGGGAAAAAACCTTTGTGCATCTCACACAAGTGAAAGGTTGCAGGAAACTTATCCAGTCCCATGTTAACAAAATTCATTGAATCTTTAAACAATAACTTCCCTGATTCAAAGTACAGCATCTCAGCGCGTTTTTCCACAACCCTACCTTGATCGTACAATTCTTGCAAGATTAAATTACCCTCTCAAATTGTTAAAAAACGACACCACCTTCCTTTCTCTCTCATCATCCTCAACCACCATCAGTTCCTCAAAAGCCTCCAATTAGTCTTCAACCTTTTCTGCGTGATATATTTCTTCTTCAGCATTCGACCAGCAGATCAGATTAGGATGAAACACCCGGTCTTCATATTGATAACATTCAATGTCCACAAAGACCCGAAGAGGTTTAGGCGGGGGTCCCTTCTTGTCCTGATCACCAGACTCCTAGAAATCAGGCTCCTCGTTACCAGACCCCTGAATATCTGACTCGCTCTTTTTCTCTACCAGTTACAGTTTGGACAGGTCGCATGGAAACACTTGTGAGGTATCTTGGGGTCGAACTGATAGACACTACAACAACTTAAACATTCTCGATACCTTTCGCAGATGCTTTTCACTCCCTTTTTCTTGCTTTTCCGCTGATGCGCGGAAAAACAATCAGACCCATAAAACTTGATATGGCAGCGATTAACCTCTAGCTGAGGCGTCAACCACACAGCGAAATTGGGGCAGCCAGGCTCTTTTCCTCTTCGGGTTCTGCAACAGGCAGGACAGTTTTGACTCCTACAGCTATGGTGATGAGATTCTTTGTGGTCGCAGCAGCTGTCGCAATGCCGGCAGAAGTAAGCGCAGTTAATGAGTGCAGGAATACTGGTCAACCCGTCATAATGCTTCTGTTTCGCTAGTTGAATCGCATGCGGTGCATCATTGTACTTCGGGTCTTTAAACAGAATAATGCATCTTGACGCTTCTACCACAACCAGTTGGTATCCCTGTGGCCCCAGGAACTCTTGAAACTTTTTGAGCTCTGCATAACCGCACACCCCTTCAACAACTCCCGCCCCTCGGTGCAGCAGCTTGGCCAGTCTTTCTTGAACGCGAAACCCTTGGTGGAGAGTTTTGTACTGACTCCCATTATCTGCTCGTTCTTTCATAGTCACAATAGCCCGGGCACAGCACAGGTCATCTCGATTCTTTACGGGAATGACGCACTTTTTCTTCTTTGCCATTTTTTTCCACACCATTCGACCAAGATTGAATTTTTTCCCACCCCCTTTACCACCACGACCTTACCGCCTTACAAACGTCAGTCAACTCCACAAAAAATCCGTCCTGCTGTATATTCATCACTTTCCCTGAATACGACGGTTTCGCTGACCGAATCATCCATGCTAGTGTGTATTCGCTGAGGCTTAGCCACTCTGTCTAGGGAATATTTTTTGGGGATTGCTGCCACACATGCTGAAACGAATTGGAATCTACTGCCAGAAGCAAATCATAATCGGCTACCTCAATTACTTCAGTCGTCACGACACGCCTTAATCCTTGCATCAGGACCTTCATTAATGCCTCACCTAACACCGCGTCTCACCTAACCTCCCCGTCTCTCAGAAAATTCAACCAATACAATTTCTATAATGCAAGTAAAAGGAGTATTAATTGGACTGGCCAATTCAAATTAGAAATTAAATTGCGAAAGAATTGAATGTCTTGTAACACCAACCTAAAGTTCGTAGCATGTTCTCTCTGAATCTGCGCCCGCATCTCTCTGTATTCTCGTTGCTTCAACTTTTTCGTCACGGGATGACATGGCACAAGAAACATCTGCGCTTGAAGACTTGGCTTTGGAACCGCTACGGGGGCTAAATCTTGAAGACTTTGCATCCTGAACTTCTTCTTGCTGGACAATTGAACTGTTCAACAGTTTGAAGACAACTGAGTAACTATCCACATGCGTGGTGCTCGCTTAATAGTGAGCAGCTTTTTTGAGGGATTAGGGTTCATTAGGCTTACGCCACACTATTTGTTCCTTTGTTGGCAAATTTGCATGTACACGGTTTCATAAGTCTTTTCCTGCACGTACACAAATTATTTTCTTTATAACATGTGTGCATATTGGGGCGGACAATTGTCTTTCGATGTGCCGGCCAATGCTTTCAAGATTGCTCGCGAAAAAAGATGGACAATGTTCACGCGCAATTATGGCGACAACCTATCTGCCCACGATCTCAATGGATTTTTATTCCTACAGATGAGGTTGGACTTTGCAGTTTCTGTGAAAGACAATTGACCATCGATCAAGAACTTGCTTTTATCAAGCGACATAAGAAATCTATTCAAGACCACTGTATTGTCATAGATTAGAAATTCAAGAAACAAACGGCTCCTTTAGGAGCCACCAATCTTAATAAAAGTTATAACCGATTCTCTTACTGAACGCTTCAGTAGTACAATGGATTAGTATCTCTGTCGGTTTGAGTCACGGTCGAGGTGTCTGATCATTCGCTTCTTCTTTCGAGAAGTGTTTGATCTTTTTTTCTTTTTCACCCTTTTGGAAAATACAAAGTCGGATAGGTCACATTTGATCTATGGATTTAAGAAGGCTAAAATTTTCGTTTTTCAGAAACGCAACATCGTGACTGAAGCCTTTGAAACCATAGATGTGATCCTGACTAAGGAACAAGCTGACCATATAAATGTATGACATTTGAACCGGCATCAACACGAGAGAAGCGCCAAGTTCTTTTACTGTTCAATCTAACAGCCACTCTCGGCTTGTTATCGAGAAGAAATTGGGAAAAAAGAGATGATGTCAAGCTGATGGAACAAGGTTGGAAACAGGGACGCTGAAACTTTTATCTATACTCATTTGATGTAGGTAAATTCGTTCGTACAGACCCTTGGGGCTTTCCCCGCCATGAGATTGCTATTTATTATTCCTATAATACTGCAATCTCGGACAAGTTCAGGATCATAACAGCTAACCCGTTCACTCTATCTTACCATAATTATTTTATGAGTAAGAAACCTACGATTTTGTATTAATAGGGAAAATCTATACAAATGGCTCTTTTAGGAGCCACCAAGTGTAATAAAAGTTATAACCAATTCTCTTACCAAACGCTTCGGTAGTGCTTATGTCTACACGTATAAGACGACAAAACTTTCACTGCCTTTGCTTATAATCAAATAACATGTACTATTGCGCACGCATTCTTAAACCTAAAAACACGCGTTATTTTCACTCTACAGTTGATTTCACTACGTTTAAGAACATGTTAACACAATTTCTCTACTGCGCATGCTTCCTGTGCACTCTGCATGCGTAATGAAGGGACAGAAATACGCTAATATAATACGCTTATAGATGCTCTTATATAATAACTCACCAAGTATCTCGCTAACAGATACTCTTATATGATAACTCACCAAGTATCTCTCTCTTTTTACTTCATAATATCATCCCTCAATAACATATTTCCGACCCTATTTCCGAACACCCGAGCCTCGCTTTGGGATATTTCCGATTCGTTGGTCTACCGAGACATGATAGTACTAAGTCATGAAATGTCCAGCCAATCAGCAACCAGAAAAAACAAAACAACTCATTTGCATAAGAATGGTGGCCAAATAGACGACCATTACTACTAACAACAACGCCTGATCACAGGTTAGCTCAGCTAGATTTAAAATAATCAAGGGCTTTACTCACTTGACTTTCCTGAAAATGCATCTTCAACCTGAAAACAGTTCCAGTAAAGTTAATATTGTTTGTATTGTTAATTTAAGATACGATCAACACAAATTTATCATTTTATTTCGATTGTTATTTTTTTAAAACTTATAGCTAAAAACTTGTTAACCCTAGATGGGATAGCTCAGTTTAGAGGCTTGTTTGCAGAGCGGGACATCGCAGGTTTGATTTCTGGGACCGGACCAAATACTATGGTAAATTTGCCCTGCAAATGGCTAGACCTTGGTATGACTTACATGTAGATAGCATTTCTTATTATTTAACATATTCCCAGTCGAAGGCCTCTCTACAGTGGTCATCTTTAAAGACAGAGGAAGGCATCAGTCGTGAAGAGGTGGCTTTTAGTTTATGGGGTTTCACCCAGTTTGGTACGAAAGTAGAATATTTTTATTTGGAAAGAAAGCAGGATACGTCCATTGATGATTCTTTTTTTGCAGTTTGGAGCGCAATTTAGTGGCCATTGCCGCTATGGAGAGGTTGCCATTGTAGACAGGTAAACTTTTGGAAACGTAGTTTTATTAGTAAAAAAAATGCATATTTTACCAACCCCTCAGTTTTGGACCGGTTTCCACCAATAAGTATGGAAATGGCAAAAATGAGATGTTTAATAATTTTGGCATATTTTCCGGTCAAAAATGTGGACTTGTTCTTTCCTTTTTTTGCGAATCTATTCAATCCTTCTTTCGTGCTCTCTTTCTTTCCTTTTCCTTTCTTTTCAAATCTAGTTTTGTTGCCCACTTCAGTTCTCTTTTCAAAGGAATTGTAGCTGGCTAACTTTCCAGCAAAGAAACAAAATTGGCAGTGGGTTAAAAGAACTCCTTTAGAAGGCAGTGGCTGCAAAGATCTATCCTTCCTGAATTTGTTGCTCACTAACTTGATCACTTAAACTAAACTAAGTTTTTTCAGAAATGCATAATCTGCATCGTTCTATATTGACCTGAAATCACCCACAGGCAAGAATTTAAAACACGAGTTAATCAATGAGTAGAGGCTCCACAGTATGACACTTGCGGCTTTTTCTCAAATTATGATTCCTCGGTTTACTTTAAAGTTACCTCTTTTCTGGGAACTAGACTAAGCCACTCGTTGACAAAAAGGAAGAGATTTACAGCATCCGATATGTTATCACCCTCTGAACAGAATGTAAGTACAACAGCTAGTGAGATATTCTCTCTGCAACTAAACAGAAACAAACTTAAGTAATATAGTTTGTTACAAGCTGCTTCTTAATGCCCCTCCAGTACATAGGCTCCTACTATTTGCGTGAATTTAAAGTTCAGTGCTGGAAGTATACAGCAGCAGGCAGCGTGGCTGATTTTTCAGTCCATCAGACTCGCACTGACAACTAATAAAAATATTAAAGTTCAAATCCTCGGCCACTCTTGTAAGTAGCAAAGTGGTTGCCTCCTGCCAGTTGGTTTTTTAATTCAGTTAATTGTTAAAGTGGAGCTCCATGCGCGCTTTCCGCCCACGTGCACCCTGAGAACGGGGTACGCAGCAAAATGTCATACTTTCTAGCTAGCATGGGAGACTGCAACGTGATATTGCACATCCATGTTATGGTCAAATGACAGCTGTCAAAACAGGGTATCCGCTAACCAGTAATGGCCATATTGCATTGATACATGACCGTTTTGACCACTGAACCCCTAACTCCCAAGAGAAACTGAAGACAATGCTTATGCCAAAAATTTTGGCCACTAACAAAGAGTATCATGGTATGTTATGGTATTTTCTGGAGTGGTCAGTTGGGGGCTCTGGTGTCGACCCATCAAGGTTACGTGTTTTTAAGTTATCTGCTCACAAGTTACTAATTTTGAACCGATCGCAGGCTTGACTCCACTTGAATTATTGGTTTGAAGTACATTATAGATTTATTTCCAGGAACTTTCCCTTTAACGTTGAGTAAATCTAAGTACCATTAATTTTAATACTCTTTCCAATGATTTGAGAGGAGTCCCTATGAACTGAACTAGCTAGGGCAGCTAAGTGTACTTTCCACGATACACAAAGGCATTTCCTTTTGTTAACATTTCATAGAGTTCATCCTGCTACACCTCCTAAATTCTTAGATAATATAATGCACTGATAATATTGAAAAAAAATAGAGAAAGATATCTGTCATTCCCACATCAATATCATGTAACGGAATCAATTAATGTTTGATCGAGTTAGCACCTCACCATTCTTCGTATAATTTTTTTGTAAATCCTCCACCAGGTAAAAAGAACTCTTCCTCTTTGGTAGACTCTAACATAATATGTTGATACAGTTCAAATTAACACACAGCTTAAAAGTTCATTCATTATGCATACTATATGGAGAGAGAAAAACAGCTACCAATTAATAAAAAAGGAGGGCATAAGGGAAGGGAGGGGGGTGTTTAGTTTTAAAATAAAAACTGTAGTGTGGGTAGAAATACACAAAAATTTAAGTTTTCTGCCTGTTTGTACTTCTTAATGACATTTACTCAGGTGCGCAGGCCTGCGAGGTGCATGTGAAAGAGTCAATGATTTTGAGAGGCCGTTCATTCTTGGGTCTCAAAATTTTTTCCACGTTGTGAATGAAAAGAACAATTCTTTCAATTGCATCATGTAAGCACACTTTGCCGTGGAAGTCTTATGGTTGATCGTAAGATTTGAGAGCATTTTTAGCGAGAAAGTCAGCTAAGGATATTTGTCTCGTTGTGATGAAACAAGTGGAGTGTTCTGAAAATGCTCTCCTAGTGTCTGATTTCGGGCTCATTTGGAGCAATTGCCTTTTCCAGGAATGGTAAAGGTGAATAGAAATTTCTCCTTCTTTTCCTTGCATGAGACCTTTTAGTTCCCATTGACTGTAGACCAAAGCTTCCAAGAAGGCGGGTTCTTTGCTTTTAATTGCAAGTGATACAAAATTATTTTTGGAAAATTAATTAGAAACATTGGGTTTTATAAAAAGAGAAGAACACAAGTCGATTAACCTGTAGATGAAATCGAAGAAACTCTCCTTTTATGCCATTAAAACTATCTGTGTACTACTAAATCCTTATTTGACCTACCAGTGGCACTGTTTAAAACTAAGAGTTAGTATAATAAAAGGAGATTCAGGAATTGCGACAAAAGAATGATATTAAAGTAAAAAACTCCTTCTTTCCTTAAATAATGATACTCTACTAATTGGTGAGTGCTTTTCCACAACAGTCCAACAGATCTAGACAAGCCACATTATTACATTAGACCTATGAGTAGAGACTCACCTTCATTCGCATCTGGGAACTTTGCTCTCTTTTCCAGTTCTTTCCATGACAGTTCATTAAACAATGGAATGAGTGTCTTTGCGGATGGTGAGAGAAGGTACCTCAAGGGAGAGCTAAAAATAATATGTTAAATTATGATCTGTCTATCACCATGCAAAAAATGATGGTAAAAATAATAAACACAAGTTGCTATCTGTAATTCTTTCTCACATGAATGATCTCTAAACTAAAATAAATAATACCGGTACTTAAAAATTATAAACAAGAACATAAATTCATCAATGATCTACATTTTGTACCCATCATCAAGAACTGAAAGGTACAGAAACACTGAATGGTAAGCAGTGAATTTTATGCAGGGGCTTGAGATCACAATAAATGTTATAAAGAGAGAGAGAGAGGAAAAAAATTACAAAATAGGCCACTTCTGAGTAGCCCGATTCTCAGACGTTCGAGGTCGTTTGCAGTCCCTCGGACGTCTGAGAATCATGATAATTTCTGAATTGCTCCAAGCTAACTGTTTCTTAGCGAAGCTAAAGTGAAAAGTTGATGATACAAAAATGACTTTTGAGGAATGTTTTCACATGAGGTCATGGCGGCCATATTGGTGTCCCAAAACAATGAAACGGCAGCCATGTTGGTGTTCCAAACTAATCCTTTGGGAGTTGAACTCTTTTCTTATGCAAACGCTCTCTTTTGTTCCAATGAACTTGCAGAGATTCTGGCCATGTGAGTGAAAACACTCTATTCCCATGCAAATATATCTTGTTTTCACAAGAAAGGTTTCACACATAGCATCGTTTGGAAAGTGAGAGCCTTGGAACTTGGAAATGGCCTATTTAAAAGGTGTTTTGCATATTTTTTTTTTGGTGGATTAAATTATAAACCTTGTTAGTAGCAATAGATTAATTAATCCATCCCCAATTAAGAAAACACATCTTTTATGTCGGTAAAGGTTTGCTCCTAGATCCAGATTTTTCAAGATTTTGCTGTTGAATCTGAGAGTCCTCGAAAATCAGTGTTTCGCTGCAATTTGACCCTCAGGGGGTTCAATAAAAATTGAAGTAGCCAGCAGGTTTGAATAGAGTAACAATAGAGTTATTCCCCTTTCTCTAGGGGGAGGGGATCTGGGGGTGTGCTTCCCCAGAAAATTTTGAAACTTCAAAGCCGTAAAATGCGAATTTCAGAGTTCTGGGGACTAAATTGAGGAAAAAAGAGTTTGTTTTTCATTCAAGAAAATGTAGCTTTCATACAACTTTCGATTTATCAGTTACACAATAAATCCCTACAAGCAATGAACAAATTATGAAAACTAAATCACATACTTTTGCTCATAAACAAATTCAGGGTAAAGGTGTGAAAAATTGACTGAAATAATTATAGCATTCTCATGACTAAAGTATAACATAAAACGAGGGGGCCTTCATGAAAGCACATCATAATTACCTTTTCATTCAGATTTAATGATATATATTTTGTTAATAATGTAATAAATTATTTCAAACTTTACATTTTTCTAGGAAAAAGTAGCCAACTTCTATGAACAAAGTGGACGATGCATTTTGTCGGCCATCGGTGCTTATTGAAACCCCTGGACCTCCAAAAAAAACTTGGCTAAAAGCTCTTTAAATTTCTTTTGGACAAAAAGAAAACCAGCAGAAAGCCTATTATTTATATTTACAAGACCCTGGCATGAATTAAATTTAAATCTGATCGAACAGTAACTTAATATACACTGTTGCAGTAGTTTGCATTGATTACCCTAAATCAAGCATTTGTGTTTAAATTCCATACACATGCTTAAATTAAAATCTGACTCATGGAGCCCAGACTGACATTTAATGACATGAAATATTGAGATAGTCAAGGAATACAGCATCTGTTATAGAGAACTATATCATACCCTTCAATCTGTGAGTCAACTCGTTCAGTTGCATTAACACTGGACAGAACAAGAACCTGTTTGAAGTGGCATTCGTTTACCCATGTTACAACTTTCTTGCAGAATTTTGCTTGACAACCCTGTAATAAAAATGTTGGATATTATGTCAACCTCTTTTCAGATAATCATTTGTATGTTTACACATCACAGGAAATCCAGCACACGGAATTGGTGAGTATTGTGACAACAGCGTACAATTTCAGTGTTTTGTAATAGTTGTCTAGAGCTCAACCTCGAATTATGTTATTAGCCTTTAATTTCTAGTATTGAATATACATGTATTTTCACCTTAAAGATTATTTCTTTTTTAATTTACCTCATTTACACTTAGGCACCAACCCTGGACAAAACTGTTGAGACAATTCCATCTATTTTCTAACTTTTGCGCCCTACTCCCGTCTCCTCTAAACAGAAAAAGTAAACCCCCTCCTCACCCCCTATTCAAAGTTGTCTTGGTCTAAAAACCAACGTGTACAATTGCCATGCTATCCTAAACAACTTTGGATAAGGGGAGGGGGGAAATCGGGCATTAATTTGGCGGAGGTTTCAATTTTTTGGATGACAGGAAAAAATAGGCATTTTCGCGATTTGTCTCAAGAGGTGTTGTCCGGGGTTGACTTACATTACAACACAATCCAGGTTGCTTGTGGCAGTGATGTACTCTATTGCTTATAGAGTACCAGGTTTTATCTTTAACCCAAAAACCTTAAACATTACAAAACTATGGTATATGAACCATATAATACTACCTTAACTAGTGGAGCTCTTAGTTGTAGAAGAACAAGCTTATGATCATCATTTTTGTACACTGTCAAGGAAACAACAATAATACCATAATCAATCACGTCATAGTCTTACACATGGCATTATAGAAAGCAGAGATAACTGACTAATCTGTAGAATGCGTGCACAATGCATGATTTCCAAGAGCAATGTCAAATTGGTGTATTTGTCGTTATTTATTTGAAAACAATGTATAATAAAACAATATTATCAGATTTGGTTTTCATGATATCTGGAATAATCAAGGTCTCGGTAAGTGTCATCAGCCACGCCCATTGGCTTGGCTGATAACACTTACCTTGACCTTGATTATTTGGATATCATTACAACCTAATTCATCCTATGTGAAGTGCTTTCAGTTCACAACAATCAGAAACATATGGAACTTCACAGTTATACTTGACTGCCTCTTTTAAATGGTTCACCTTTTTGTTTACAAGCACTGGAATAAGCCTTGATAGATACCAGTAAAAAATGGATGAACAGATAAACAAACCTTCAGCACTGACATTAAGTTTCCCTGAAGATGAAGAGGACTCGACAAGGGCATCATTACCCACTACTGGTAAGATACAGGGGTCATGTAAATATCCAATGTGGTAACAGTTAGGAGATAGTGAAGATGTTATCAGATCCATCGTTAACTGTCCCACATTACCTATTGACACAGCTGGCTACAAAAGTTACAAAACTTTAGGTTACTAAAAAATACCAAATGTCAATTACAAACATGTGCACTATGCATCAAAGTATAACATTCATGTGTGAGGCTCTGGGGAAGAAACATAACAATCTCAGATATTTTACTTCTAATAAAACTTTTCTTTTCAACCTTTAATTTAGTTCATTATTGGAATGAAAACACTGCCTTCAAGCAACAGTCATTTCTAACCCTTGGACATTCCCCCTCTCCCACTTTCTATGCAAGTGAAAGCAAGTGAATTTCCTGGTCCACACAAGGCCAAAGTGAATGATGAACTCCCCCACACCCATATTCCCCCAGACATTGTACTCCCTTTTAAATGTCAACCTTAACCTAAAGATGTTAATTCCAACTAATTCCTTGGTCCAGGAGGCAAAGATGGTGATTTGTAACGCACTCCCTACCTATACCAGGAGTTAGGCCAATTGACTGAATAAGAAGGGAAAGGTACCCCAATACAATTCACCTATCATCCCAAGGGTTGGGGGCGGGGGCGATCAGGGGCTTCACTGACTAGTGCATGAAGAGTTGATGTAAGGAGAAGGAAAGTAAGAAAAAAGGGGAAATTCTGTTAAGGGATATTTGCCCAAAAGAAAAGAGGTAATATGAATATGAAATGTTGATCAAAAGACCAAAAAGAAAATGAACACTGAAAAATCTGTCTTCAATTATAAATGGGTCAGTCAATTCCAAGCATGCTCATCCCAGTTCTCCTCTGGCCTCCTGAAATTTCCTTTGTTTCCTATGAATAATCAGAGCATGGGAACAAAGGAAAATTATTCAAGATCAAATGAGTTTAATTTGAAAACCACTTCACCCTGAGAAAAGATTTTACCATCCCTATCCATGGGGCATTGGCAAATGAAACATGCCTGACTTAGATTTGTATGCATTGTTATGCATTGCATATCTTACTATGTAGCTTCTGTTTTGTGTAACCTTTATGGCGGAGCTCTTGCGCGCAAAGCGCACCAGCACAGCACCATGGGTAACAAACTGAAGTAATCTACCCATCCGAGAAAATTTGGTAATCACGCGACCGTACCCCGACCGCCCACCCGAGAGACCATCCGTCCGCACCACAGGCATCCCAATGTAAAAAAACTCAATCAACAGGTATGGTAACCCAAATGCAACTTGAGGTTATTTTGGTGGGAATTCCCATAGCCACTGGCGTCTTGTAAAGCAGAGACAACAAAAGAGTCAATAAAGATGAAAACAGAAAGCAGAAATTGTTTCTGTATCCATGTTGTCTAAAGAATTAAGCAGATAAGTTGTCATGTCCACAAATTTGGAATAGAGAGCAAGAGAAAGACAGAGAAAAAGAGAAAGTAGGCGGCAGGCCAACGAAGCTCAACGAGAAAAAGGGCGACAGAGATTTAGAGCAAAGAAATAAAAAACAAAGAAGACGTTTTTGTTGGAAGAACAACATAGAAATTTTGTAGCGGCAGTGACAAAATGAGAAATGCTAGCGGCCACCAATGCAAGGTGAAAATGAAAGGCAGTGAAAAAAAGTGAACACGAATACGTACGACATTTCCTCCATAAAACGTGTAACTACAAAGTTTCTGGAAGTTTCACGTTGTAGTCGTACAAAACAATGGCAAAGAAATGTACAAAAAAAGAGTGCTGCATGTGCAAAATTGATATTTTTGCTCTTTAGACCTATTGTCGTTTTTCACCATAATCCGCTGCTTAGCATTACACGATTTTATATTAATTTTTGTTAGAGCAAACTATAAAATATTATCGAGAGCTTCGCTTTTAGCCCTGGCTAAACCTATTTAGTAAAATCCAACTATTGGGCTATTATGAGTGCTGCGTTCTGATTGGTTGAGCTGCTACTAGGCTATATGTTATAACCCACTAGTAGTGAAAAGCGCCGGCTTTGAAAACCAAAACAATGGCCGCTGAATCGCGTTTTGCTAGCTAAAGTTGTTTTAACTCAATACTTTTGACCAACTAGTTTGATTTTACTAAAACAATTATTCCTCTCGGCCTCATAGCCTCTGAGTCAATAGCCCATTCGGGCTTGAGGAATAATTGCCAACGAGCAAGCCAAGCGAAGACGGTCGGCTTGCGAGGCGGCCAGCTTAATGCCACGCAAAGTATTGCAGCAGGCAGAAAATTTTCTTGATCATGCTGTGAAAAGTGTAATGTAAGGTGTAGATTCCCTGGGGATTTTAGTAGCGTTAGATTTCACGTGTAGTTTCACGTGACTTTTGATGACCTTTGTTGTACACAAAGTTTGGACATTGTTCTCTGCCACACCACTGTACTTGTACGAACTACAACTTGCTATTTCAAGTTCGCGCTAACCGATAAATGTTATTTCCCTTTCGCTGTTTGAAACTCGACAAGTTTAAAGTTAAAAAATGTCTAAGCAGAAGAATAAGAGCGATTTTAAGGCCAAGAGCATGGCAGAAATGTAGGAACGAGGAGTGCTTGTAGTGGAAATTCTCGCCTCAGCAGCTGAAATGGTTTTATCAACATTGGAACTAAAACCGGTGATGTAGGGAAATTCTTTTTCTTTCGTTAGCACTTAGCGAAAGCTACAACTACAGTCTCAGTCAAAATGGTTGGACACTTTGAGGTCTCCTTGTCCCCTCAATGTTGGTGTACAAGATTTGGTGACCGAACCGCGATAAATAACTTTGAGAGGGACGAGGGGAGCACGAGAAGGGAAAAAACAGCGTTTGACCCCAGCTATTTTTGTCTGAGACTGTGTCGGGGAGGAATTTGAAGGCGTGTTGACAGATACGGAGGTTAATCTGTAGGTCGGTCACAAGCGACGGGCTTTTGGTTTGCTGGGCGTCCATTGTGTTTCGCAAACGTTTCTATAGCAGTGAACTAAGTTATTTGGGCATAACAACATAACACAAAGAATGACTAGTTCGCAGAAATTTCTTGGGCAGAGTAGAGTATTGGAAAATAAAAGGAACTGACTGCGCAGTAAACCGTACACAAATAGCTTTCTAGTGGCAGATTGATAGTGTGACGACATAGCACGTGCATAGTATCTACGTAAGATTCAGGGTTTTCATATACGGAGAGGCGCTCGAATGTGCCACATTTCTAGAAAAAATGTGTGGAGAATAATTATATAGAGAAGGCCTCTTTGCCAAGAAAGAGTGTAGGAATAAGGCTGAAAGGGATGCCTTTCTAAGTTAAAGGGCAAGAGGTGAAAGACAGCTGAAAGAGCGATTAAGCGCTTTCGGGAGAAAGGGGGAAACTTTTCCTCCAGTTTTGAATTTCAAACTAAAAAAGATGTTGAGAAGAATCCAGGACCTACTCAATACAACACTGATCATCATGAAGTAATAATTAGATCTTTTATGCAAAATCACAGCTCACCAATGCAGTTGATCTCTCCTATTTCCTCTGAGAATTTGATGCAGTCAAGATTAGGTGAACTTGGTTTACAATCAATAGATGTTGGCGGTGCAGGTGATTGTTTCTTTAGATCTGTATCACATCAATTATATGGCAATAGCAACCATCATATGCATATACATACTGCTGGGGTTCAATTTATGAGAGACAACCCAGAGAGATTTATTTCAGAGCAATACCGAAAATTCATGGCTAAGATATCTGAATAATATGTGTATTCAAGGTACATGGGCTGATGCACTTATCATTCAAGCAGTTGCAGACGCATTAAATGTTGCTATACAAATAGTAGAATCTAATCAAGGCTTTGCACCACTTATTACTGTTTACCCAGTTCAGGAAAGAAATACTTCCTCTACAATTACTATAGGTTTTATTATGTCCATATATGCAGTTTGTTTCTCTGTCATCAAATCATGCACTTACTGGGATTCTTCAACACTACAGGCTCTCCATGAACATGCATGTTTGTTCTATGAGAAGTGTAATGCAGACTGTGTAGGCAAAATTGTGATAATTCTGTAACAAACTTCTTTGCAAACTTTGTCATTACCATTCAACCCAAAACTGTCAGTGATTTTTGCTCTTTCACTCAAACTTGAAAACAAATAAAAACCTTATACAGATCACACTTGTTGACATCACAGTATAAAAACACTACTATAACACAGACCGTTAGCTGAGATAACACTGAACAAACTTACAACAACATCCTCCTTTCTCATGCATTATATTGCCTTTTTTCTGCATGAGTTAAATCAGACTAAGTATTAGCCTCCACAGAGGAGGGGGGAGGGGTGCCAGGGGTAAACTATATCTATGCAATCCCTTGTCCCACTGGGCCCCGGTAAGTTCCACGTAGTGGTTCTAGTTAATACCTTGGAATGTTGTAATTAAAGAAACAAAGACTTCTTTCCTCCATAGATTGTATTCTCTCTTTCTATCCGTGAAATCTCTTATGTTTTTCCCAAAAAAATGGCTCCCAAACGTGCATATACCTGCCTAGCGATTTCCCGCCACTAGAGCCAACGAGGAGTCACATACCTAAAATTCCTCTAAAACACAGTCTCAGTAGTCAAAATGGTTGGGACACTTTGGGGTCTCCTTGTCCCCTCAATATTGGTGTACAAGATTTGGTGACCGAACTGCGATAAACAACTTTGAGAGGGACGACGGGAGCACGAGAAGGGGAAAAACAGCGTTTGGTTAAAGTGTCCCAACTATTTTTGTCTGAGACTGTAGTTGTTAAAGAGGGGGACATGGGGGTTTACGGTATTGCGGTATTGGGCTTTTTTTCATGCGGTATTTCGGTAATTTTAATTTTAACGTGCGGTATTGAGGTATCATCTAGCTCTGCGGTATGCGGTTTTTCATCATTTTGGCTGACGGTATTCGGTGAAATAAGATTGTTCACAGTATTACGGTACCATTTATTTGCGCTTTCCTTTCGATACAATACGCAAAACAAAACACAGCAAGACATAAAGGTCAATAAAAGTTAATATTTAGAAGTCTTGAGACATAACGGTAAATAATTACACCATTTGTGGGTCATTTTGTGACAGTTAATGATCGATAATATACAATGTGCTTGTTGTTACATCCAATGATAATGAGTCGTCTCAAGTTACCTTACCAGGCTTGTCGATCTGTGTACCTGTGCCGGTAATTCGAGGTCTTAAACGTTTTCTCACAATGTCTGAGGTCGCTGAGGTTGAAGACGGCGTGGTCTCACTGGCGTCTTGTAAAGCAGAGACAACAAAAGAGTCAATAAAGATGAAAACAGAAAGCAGAAATTGTTTCTGTATCCATGTTGTCTAAAGAATTAAGCAGATAAGTTGTCATGTCCACAAATTTGGAATATAGAGCAAGAGAAAGACAGAGAAAAAGAGAAAGTAGGCGGCAGGCCAACGAAGCTCAATGAGAAAAAGGGCGACAGAGATTTAGAGCAAAGAAATAAAAAACAAAGAAGACGTTTTTGTTGGAAGAACAACATAGAAATTTTGTAGCGGCAGTGACAAAATGAGAAATGCTAGCGGCCACCAATTCAAGGTGAAAATGAAAGGCAGTGAAAAAAAGTGAACACGAACACGTACGACATTTCCTCTATAAAACGTGTAACTACAAAGTTTCTGGAAGTTTCACGTTGTAGTCGTACAAAACAATGGCAAAGAAATGTACAAAAAAAGAGTGCTGCATGTGCAAAATTGATATTTTTGCTCATTAGACCTATTGTCGTTTTTCACCATAATCCGCCGCTTAGCATTACACGATTTTATATTAATTTTTGTTAGAGCAAACTATAAAATATTATCGAGAGCTTCGCTTTTAGCCCTGGCTAAACCTATTTAGTAAAATCCAACTATTGGGCTATTATGAGTGCTGTGTTCTGATTGCAATTGGTTGAGCTGCTACTAGGCTATATGTTATAACCCACTAGCAGTGAAAAGCGCCGGCTTTGAAAACCAAAACAATGGCCGCTGAATCGCGTTTTGCTAGCTAAAGTTGTTTTAACTCAATATTTTTGACCAACTAGTTTGATTTTACTAAAACAATTATTCCTCTCGGCCTCATAGCCTCTGAGTCAATAGCCCATTTGGGCTTGAGGAATAATTGCCAAC